TACTACTACTACTACTACTACTATTATTATTGCCAAATGAATTTCACAGTCTAATCAACTGGGGGTTGATTCCAATGATTAGGTCCTAGTCAAGGACCTAAGAAGGTGTTCCAAGAAGGGTAGTTGTTTGCAAAATTAATGGTATCAGGTCCAGTAAGTTTAAAAACTATAAAGCTTCTAAGTACTGGTGAATCCTTTTGGCATTATTATTATTATTCCTAGTACCAAAATTCCTCATAATCAAGAAATTAAGAAAGAAATCTGGGAGTTGAATTCCACATTTGGCAAATGGTCATATTAGGGAAGATCTGCTCTAGTTCAGCTTTTCTACTGTATGAACTCCCATCTCTGGTTCTGATAATAGAAGGTACTAAAAATACCTGTAGCAATTGAGATTACCACTTGGATTAAGATCAGAGACATTTGAGCAATGAAACTCAGTTGGTGAGTTTAGGCCAATCACTCTCTCTTAGCTCAACAATGTTAAGTGAAGGTATTAAAGGAGAATTCCTCTTTTTCCCAATAGAGAGTGTGTGTGTTTGCTAACTGAAGACTCTTTATAATGAATAGATGCAGGTTAATGCCCTCCCAACCTGTGCATTTATTACAACCAATGACTGAAGAGAGCTTTCCACAACAGCCAAACACGTTCAGTCAACCAACATAGCAGGATAAAGCCTGTTGCCTCTTGACTGTTACAACTGGTGGTGTTCCAAAAGCTCTGCTATGAACCTTGCTTTGCTAGAAGTTCTACAAAACAAATGAGGGGACTCCTGGCTTAGAGAACAACTATATAGGAGAAAAAGGGTTTGAAGAAATTGAAATGTTCATGTATTTTCATAGGAAAGAAAACCAGCTTTACTGACAAAAGCACAGAGAGATCTAGTAAGTATTTACGCATAAGGCCAGCCTATGAGAGTTTGGTGCCTGAGGCAGAATAGTAAATGATGCCTGCCATCCTACCCACCCACCTCCTCCCAGGATCCTTTGCTGTGTGGCAGAAGGACAAACAAGCTATTTTGGCAATGGAGGAAAAAATCCTCCTCTTTCTCCTTGGCTGTAAAAATAAAATACTAAATGAATAAACAATTTACTACCTTTTTGTAATGCCAAAAACTTGCTCCCTTAGGTGGCCAGTTAATTTTGCCTAATGGTAGAATCAGCCATGTTGTGTATGATACAAGTGCTTGGAAAGACATGTTTGTGTCTATTACTATCTCTGTGTAATGCTTTCAAATGTGTATCTGAAATCAATCAGACATGATGTGAGAAGCTCATGACTTCTCCTCTATATTTTATAACTAATTAGCAATCACTCTGCACTTTGGGGAAATGGTGGTGTGAAAAGATTCTTTTAACACTTCCTCTTGACACCATTTCTCTATTAGTACCACTTTTATTTCTTCAGAGAAAAATATTGAGATACTAGGTATGTGTAGATTACATTTCCAGTTCATATGCATATTGTCTCCTGGCAAACTAAGACAGCTTTGAAGAGGACAATTAAATTGGGGAAATGGTCCAGGACATGCTCCTTCATGCTTGCCAAAGCATGGGGACAGAGGGGGGATCTTGAAGACTAGAGCTGGAGCAATGTTTTTGGTGAGGGTGGAAGAGAACAGATGGGAGACCCAGGATTTCCTCAACAAATGCTTGGATTTGGATCTGAGATGTGTGAGGAGAAATCTGGATGCTGGAGGATTCACCTGCTATTCTCAGCCATGCTCTCTCAAAGTCTGTTCCTAAGCCAAACTCTAGCAAATTCCTGCAATATCCCTCATTTGGGCTTCTTTCTCCCATCCCAGTCTCCCCAGTTCATCAGCTTACACACTGACAGATACAAAACAACATAGCTCAAACTGGGTAGGAATAGACCAAGATGCAGAATATTGTCAGGCAACTTCTTATCTCTTTGCTCATTGCTGCTTCCAGACTGACCTTGAGGAGCAATTGGGGGATTTTCAGTGAAACAGTCTTCTGCCGGGCCAGGATCTTTTGTAGTTCATTGACACGGGCCGTGACGAAGAAATGTAGGAAAGCTTGTTCCACCAACTTGCTCATGTACTCGCTTGACTCGATTAGCACCTCAAGAGTTTCAACTGACAGGAGGAACAAACAGAGAAACACAACTGAAGCCTGAGTAATATAGCTGCCAGTTATTACTCCCAGTCCTGCTGATGGTATATTACTCCAGATTACACCAGATGCAATAAAGATGTTGCTTGCAGAAGGGTCCAGTGCTTTCCAACATGCAAAGAAACATCTAAGGGCTGAACTGTAGCTCATTTTCCCTGCTGTGATGGAACAGAATGGCCAGTGCTGGGAGACCTGCATTTATTTACAGGTTTGGATCACTTCCACCCATATAGTGAAAGGTATTACCTTAAACTGCTGCTAGTAGCAGAAAGCTGAAATAGGAAGTATTTCATTAAAGAGCTATTTTGGATCTGTTCCCATTACTGAGTTACAGTGTTTTCCACCCATCTTGGCAGAAAGCTCTATCAGCCTGAAATTGCCTATCCCAATCTAGCCTCTTTTCCGTTCCCAGTTACTGCTAACCACATAGTTTTCCACCTGAGCAATGGATAACAGAGTCTAACTGCTTCTGAGCATTTGGAGGCTGTTCTTCAACAGTGTTGGAATAAAGGGGAAATACTACTTTAACCCTGGTAGAGTTAAGGATTATTTAAGTCTGCCTCACTCATAGGTTGGGGATGAGATGAAGACAGCATCATGGAGATGTGGCAGAAAAAAGATATTGCCAGGTACAAGGGGATAAAAGCCATTTGTCTTGCAAGGCATTGAGCCGTTCAAAAACCTTGGCAAGATCCTTTTTCTTATCCCATCCTCCCCCAAAAGGTCACCTCTCAGAACTCTCTCCAAATGTTCTCCCCCAGATTTTGGTGGCAGCCACCCACAGATCCCAATTAATTGTGAAGGAGGTAGAAGAGTGGCCAGGCTGCAGCCAACAAAGTTGATGTTGCTTCTATATGCAGTGTGCAGGGTTGGGGGGCGGGGGAGAAAGGAAACTGGATTACTGCTTATTGTGAGTCCTCCTGTCATAAATCTGTTCAGGAATGTCTCCTTCCTCAGGAGAAATTGTAAAATGTCCATGTCCCCTTTCCTTTGGCCATACCAACAGGACGCAATTTTTTGAGAGAGGATTTGCTTAATTTCTAATTCCCAAGTCATACAGTCCAATTATGTTGTGGCATTCCAGACTCCAACTGCACAATGGAGAATTGCTTCTTTAGTCACAGGAATGTTCATGGTCATTTCAACTGCTTCATCACATTTCCTGTTTACCTCTATATAGTTCTAGTTTCAGCACAGTATGTCTACCCTATTCCATGCCTATCCTGCATGTACGTGTGAATTAGCAGTGTTTGGAATGGAGATTCTTCTCTCCTATCAGTCTGGCTTGTTGGGAATGAGTAACACTCTAATCATGCAATCCTAAAGGTATTACTCAAAAGCAACTACAGGTTCAGTGAAAAGTATCCCATGGCATCTGCAGTGACATCGTGGACGTGGCAGTGCGATCAAAGCCACACCCCTTTGCATGTGCATATAAAGTTAGTGCATGTACAGAAGGGGTGGGACTTTGATCACATCGCTGTGACTAACAGATCACAGATTTACCCCTGCAGATGCTAATTTACACTCCAATAAGTATGTATTTATAATTGTAGCCTGAATCAGTATAGTCAAGCCAAGGAAAATTTTTCTCTATAATTTATTATTTATTTAAGGAACTTATATGGCTGCCTATCTCACACAATGATGCAAGGCAGCTCGCAACAGTATAAAAACAAACAAATCAGACTCTTCCCACCAGTCATTGGGCCATCATACTGCAGACCACCTGACTCAGCTCCACTCTAACCCAGTGCTTGGAGGAACAGCCAGCTATAAATACATTGCTTTGGAGAAAATATTACATATATAAAAATAACAATTACCTGATTCTATTTACTCTAAAGTAACCTTGAGGAGATCAGTTTTACTCCCTGTTTTTAGTTAAGAGGTTTGCTGAGTAACACAACATATATTTAAAACATGTTAGGGAATTTGGAAAATAGCTTGCTAATAAATCTTTCTTGAAGCTATTGTTTCATTGTTCACCTGGAGAAATCTGACATTTGAAAGCAATCTCAGAAGGGCATTTAAGAGTATATCCGCACCACTGTTCTCAAAAAGCAGTGCATGCTCCAGCAAAGGGGAAAAAAAGGGTGCTACAGAGTTTTCCACAATATTTCAGTCCTTTCAAAGCATTCTGAACCCCTCTTGCACAAGAAGGCAGAGCTTGATTCTACCCCTTTCCTATATTTGCACGATACCTTGTCCATGGTTAACTATAATTTACTTAGTCAACCCATTTTCCCAAGTTCACATGACATGCTGAACCATAAATTGACAAGTTAAAGTATGACTGGGCATCTTTGAGGTAAGGCATCTAATAGTAATCTGGATTTTTGCAGGCCAGATCTGGTAGCACTTGTTTGGGATTTGTCCATTAGTTTCTACCCAGGCCTATAGTCAGGACTGTTGTTTGTAGAAAGGGAAAGCTTGGGGGCAACCAGGTGTTGATGAGCTACAATGTCCAACAGCCGTACATTAACTATGCTAGCTGTGCTTACCACAAGCTGCAGTTCAGCTACATCTGAAGGGTTGAATGGATGGAATAACTCCTTCCCTCCTATAAACCAGCCAAGAGTTCCAAAACTTTCTGGTTTCACACACTCCTCTACCCCACACTTTGTTTCAATCATTGTTTATTGAACAAGTCATAATGACCCAGTTCATATATAATACTAAAGAATAAGCAATGGTTTACAAACTGTAATAACTGCGTTCAGCTGCCCCACACTTCCTAGTTACCCTGATTATCTCAGATGCTCTGAAAAGAGCTTTTATGCTGCCATAACCAGCCAATGTTGTTGCATGGAATATCATTCAGTTAGATTGAGAATTATTTTGTTTAAAGGCATCAAAATGCTACGGGCTATCCTGGCTTAGGTCAGGAAGTAGGCCCTTCTCAGATGTGAGAAACAAGGTGTAGTCCAAAAGTTTATCTGGCCAAGGATTTTTAAAATCTATATTACAAATTGATTAATTAAGGGTGAATTCCTATATTTATTTAGCTGGGATGATAACACCCTCCCCGTCCTGAACTGAATGGGATTTACTTCTGAGTCAACATATATTGCAGGAATTGGGCCCCAACTCCTGCAACACCTCCCCAAGCAAACGTTTGGCTGTCTCCAGAATTCCTTCCAACTATGCAACCAAATTTTCAAAAATTGGAGGAAGAATACATAAAATCTGTAATATAAACCCTAAAGAATCACAGTATTTAGAATTGTGCTAGTAATCATCTTACTGCAAAACATACTGGAAATCAGGGAAGCCTATTAAAAATGCTGGATTTGGCAGACCTCTGGTGAGTGGGATGAGACAATGAGCCGGGCAGCAGTCAGAAGGAACAACTCTTAATCTCTTGTCTTGACTGAATTACATGTGGAAGTCCTAACTCTGCATTGTGAGGTTATTGTATGAAAAGACATGCTGCTTTTTTCTTCTGTTGTTCCATCCACATCAAAACAGAATCCTTGCATTCCTTCTTATTACTATTTGCAGGCAGCCACCTGACCTAGATTTCCAAGACAGTCAAAAGCTGTTTGATGCGCCCCCTCAGCTGCAAAGGAATTACACAGAATGCCTGTAAGTCTTAACCTTAAATAAAATTCTGGAGCAGTCAACTCTATTGGAAAAGAGAAAATAAATAAATGAGTTATGTGACATGTGAATCCTTTTTCAAAATCCAAAAAGGGCATGCAAGAAAAATATTTCAGGTTAAGTCTGCACTTATATCCAGTCTTCTTTTAGAAATGGCACAAATGGACTTTCAAAATTCTCCATCAAATTTGTGCACAAAGAAATTGGACAATTTCTCCAAATGTTTCCAGGGTAACTAGAAATTCTCCAACAATTTCTCAAGAGCAGAACTCCCTTCAGTGGCAATAGTAATATCACAACTGATAAAGCTGCATGGGAAGAGTTCCCTCCTGATATCCTTCTTTAGGTTATAACTGAAGTACATGAAGCCAGAGGGTGCCAATATGCAACTAAATGAGCATAAGAATACCACAAAATCATTTCTCCAAACAAATTCTCTTTTGTCAAATTGAATGAGCTATTAAAAACATGAAGAAAATAATATTTTCCTAGCACTAATTTACAGTAGAAAGTAGACTGAGTTCACTGAAGCAGCAGTAAACTCAGTATGAGCCATACAAGATCAATCTATTCAGGAGGGGATTATTGTTATTTAAATTTGTAAGCCACCTGACTCCCAATGATTTTGGGCAGCTGACAAGTAAAAACATTAAAAAGAAGGGAAAATATAATAATAATAAAAAAAACAAGAATAAAAGATGGCAAGGATAACAAGAACCGGATGGAACAAAAAAGAAACAAAAACGCATGGTCCAAGGGGGCTTCATTCTCCCTCGCCAAATGCCTGGGTGAAGAGATAAGTCTTCAAGACCCTTTAGAACATCAACAGGGTGGGGCCATCTGGATCTCAGGGGGACCTCAGTCCAGAGGGCAAATGCTGCTACAGAGAAGATGCGCTTCCAGAATGCTGATAGATGGTTTTATTTAATCAAAGGAATCTGGAGTGCACCACTCCTGCCAGACCAAATAGTCTGGGCAGATACTATGGGAGATGTCCATTAGCCTGAGCACTAATGGTGTATACATTTATCATCTGGATCCACATTATACAGTGATACCTTGGGTCACGAATGCTTCTGTTCACGACCAATTCGGGTCACGAACAGCACCGTTCGCAAAATTTTGCTTCCGTTCGCGAACGCCGGATCGGGTGACGAACAGGATCCGTGGCCATTTTCCCT